TTCTGAGAACTCCTGATAGCTACAATGAGACTTTTTTGGTTTGGGTTTTTTTTTTCCCTAATCCTCCCAAAACTTTTGGCTTCTTTCTGACTGCAGACTTGCAATAATGAGCTGCAGGTTAGAGGAGTTTAACAGTAAGCTAATTTCTATTGGAAAATACTGATTTGTCAGAACTATGGTTTCTTAGCCAGTAGTGATTGAAGATCAGGCATCTGGTATTACATATACCCAGTTTGTACTCTCCTAGGTCTGCAAAACATTTAAAGTGCTGTAGCGGGAACTCCAGCAAGCCAGAGTATGTTAATGCACCAGTTTGTCACTGAATGAGCTAAGGTAATTTAACTCGTCAAATTCTTCTTCTTTGCTACATCATTATTTCCAGGGTGATCAGGTATGGAACATTTCTGTGTGTGAATGTTTCTGGGGCAAGCAAACACAAGACCTCTTAACTGATTAACAGATAGCCCTTTGGGAGTTTCTTCAAGACCTTGTGTCTCCAGACCTAAGACAGGCCAAATAGCAAAGCTGGATGTTGGTAGATTTATTATGGAGGTCTCGATAGCTGCTGACTAAACTTCTCTCTTTCACTTGGCATTTGGGAAGGACCTTAGAAAGCACAGTTGCAGTAGCTCATAGTTTTCAACCCAAATATTGTCAGATTTCAAGTACTGGATGGAGCATTTTGCAGTTCTCATTGTCGTACTAATTTGGCCTATCTGTCTTCAACTAATTTGAATTATCAGTGAATAAACTTGATTCCCTAACCAACAGTTAGGGTGATCATTATTTTTGCCATGTGGCATCTGTGGGAGTTGAGGGAATGTAGCATTTTGTTTGTTTCAGTCCTTTCTCTTCTATCACAAGTCTGTAGTAGAAACTTGCTTTGACTTTTGTTTATCTGGGAATCTGCAAGAACTGCTGTGTGAGCAATCCAAGCATACCATTTCCTCTTCTTGTGTAGTTACTTCCACATTTGACCATTACAGCTCTGTTTTTAAAGTAGATGTATTTTTCCCCAAGTTATTATTTATGAAGACTATAATCCTGATGTTTAAGGTCAAACTGAAAAGTTGCAATGAATCCTCCTGTTTTGTCCCATCATCTCTTTTGCTACCATAAGCCAAGTAGCAAAAACTGGCAAGTAGCCAACTCTTGGCATGATTAAGACATGCAAGCTTACAGTGTCACAGGTCTTGGGACCTAGGTAACAGTTCTGTTCCTCATCAGTCATCTCTTTAAATAGCTGCTTGTATAGGTGTCTTCGCACTAGGTGGTAAGATGCACCTGTACGGACTCCCTTCAGAAAGCAGAAGTCAAGGGTGACCCTAGAAGGCCACAGCAGTGTTGTCTGGCCAGCAGTGCCAGCACACTGCTGGTTTCTCAGCCTCCCCATAGCTCATGTGACAAAGGGCAGTGCTTTACCATTAACATTTCTGTGGTAAGGTGATAGGCAGAAAATGTGATGCCATGTAATAGCTAAGGGGCATGTCAGGTCAACATGGAATGCTGGTACTGTGCTAGTTTCAGGACAGTGGAGCTTCCAGAGTTCATCCTACATCTCAATAAACCCATTTCCTAAGTGATATAAAGTATGAAAACAACAAAATTTTGCAGTGAGGAATCTAATCTACCTTAATTAATGGTAACTTATAAGTAATGTAGCTAATTACTCACAAGTAATGTAGCTATAGTTCTGGGCAGTCCTGCAGATTCTTCATTCTTGCAGCTTGCAGGCCCTTTCTCTTTAACAGGTTTGCACCAAGTATGTACAAGGATGGGTTGTCTAAATCATACATAAGACAAAGACTAATTTTCATTTTAATCTGCATACAGAAGAAAACTCCTAGGAAAAGGATGTAATGACTCTTGCATGAGTAATCACAGTTTATGCAGGGCTGCCCAGCTACCCATCTCATTACTTAACACCCAATCATGTTACTAAGGAAATTACTCCTTTTCTGGTTCTTAGTCATAAAAAATGACAATGAAACATTACTTCCTATGTAATTACAGAGCCTGAAAACCTCCCAAGTTTTAGAATAAGCCAATAGACACCATCTTATGTGCCAACTGACCTGAGATTTTGGCATGATTTTGTCTTTTACCTGAACTGTGAAAGTATGGTTTAAATACAAAAGCAAGATGTTGTTCTTTATGAAATGAGGAAAACAATAGTGTGCACTTCCATAGCATCTTCCATTTGATAAGCTGATACCAAGTACTATTTTTTCCTGTGAAAAATATTTATTACTCTGATGTATGTTACAAAAATATAAGTATAGGTCATACAGAGAGTTAGTGGGTCAGAATACTAGAATTGAACATTTAGTCCAGGTATCTCTACTCCTCTTTCTGTATTTTCACCATGATTCCATTTTTCTTGCACAGAATGTATTACTGAGGCATTTTGGTATCCAAAATGGGTCATAGTGTGTTGGGTTTTGATTCCTTTCTCTTCCCCTTGCTCCTCACCTCCTTTTTCCAGGTATATTTTGAAGAAAGACCGCCTGAAATATCTTACAGGAAATCTCCAGAGATAGTTACTTGTGTCAGTTAAGTTCTGGAATCCATCACTGTGAAACATTTGTAGTACCTCTGTCCTCTATACTTACCTGGTTTTGCACAATTGGCAATGATGAAAGCAGAGTGCCATCAGCTATTCAAGGTTTCTAGCTTTTCTGGCTCATCAGTGCCTCCAATGTTGTTGCATTTGGGGAAAAAATAGAAAAAAAAAATTGAGTGAGTTTTTATTGTGTGCTTAAGACTCATTTTATGTGGAATTGGTTTGAATTGAAAACTTCAAGGTTCTATTCAGTGTCACTATGATATCCCCCAACATTACAGAAGATTAGAATAAAGTTATTTAAGTGTAGAAGTCTGTGTCCATTTGCATGCCACAAGTGGTGATTTATGTCCTAGCACCAGTGACTGAATCCTTTTTGGAAACTGTTGTCTTTCACATTTGCCTCAACTTTTCTGTTTTGGAAGTGGTTACTGTAATAGGTGCATGGCAATACCAGCAGCGATAATGCTTTCCTACTGTACTTGCTGGCCTTAAGGAACCAAAGTGGGGGTGTTGGGGAAGGGGAATGCCAGTCAGAAATGTCACTGTGAGCTTCCTTTACGTTGGTATGTTAGATAAATTCAATTTTTTTAATCTTCTGTCTCTTTTTTTTCCCTTACTGCATATTTGAGCATGCTCTGATTTTCTTTTTTTCTTACTTTATACTGAACTTCATCTTACTTCATCTTTAATGCAAAGGTTCCAGACTTTTCAAATCATTTTCCTCTCTCCATACCTACCTTTGCAACATACATGATGACTGAAGAATCTTGGCCTGATGAGCTAAATGTTTCTGAAGCTCTAGCTACACTTCAAAGGAGGGTGCAGTGCGCTTTGTCTGGAATAGCTTTGTTTTTAAAACAAACAGTTTTGCTGCGAAGTATTTTAGATAGCTCAGACTGCAAAAGTCAGTGCTCTGGGCAATACATAAACCACAGACTAGAGAGAGGTAGATGTTGTAGTTCTATGCAGTACTCAGACATGTCACTGTGGTAAATCACCATGTGGAATTTTAAACCTGCTGTTGTCACCACTGGATATAGTTTAACTTATTTAGAGCGAGAATACCATAGTTCCATTTCTTTTTGATGACTGGCTTGATGATACTTAAAGGTCTTTGAAGATGAATAATCTGCTGCTTAATGACACTGTTTAGATAGTTCATGACCAAAACTTCAGCAACATCATGTAGTCAGGCTCTGAAGTAGATACATCAGAAGAAGCCTATTAAAGCTACTCCTGGGGGAAAATGGAGAAAGAGGGTCAAAGGATTGAATGTTAGAGTGAAATGAAAATAGTGCATGAATAGGATCTCCCAAAACCAAACCAGCATAAAACTTTGTAGTGAACAAATATTTAGTGTCAAAATCAATTAAATGTTTGGCTGGACAAAGAAATGCTTGCCTCTTTAAAGCTGATTCCAATAGGATGGCTGTAAAGCAGTTTGCAAAATGTTGGCTTATTAATTCTGGGAAGACACAAAGAACAGCATTATCAAAATTGCTTTTGATAACTGGAATAACTGCAGCAAAACCAGAGCAATGTTTGCCAGGCAGCCTGAAAGCCTGAGCCAACAGCAAAGAGACAAATACAGTGTTAAAGAAAAAAATGAGCTAGAAAGGGCTTTAAGAGTCAACTGAGTGTGCCTTGATTTCTATTTAATCATAAGCTCTTTGGCTGAGTCAGTGGTACAGCTGAAGATGCCGGAGGTGATTTGTTAGAAATGGATGTTCTGTCTGTAACTGATTTGTTTTGGAGGGTATGCTTTACAAACGCAGGTTAACTAGCCATCTGTTCTGTCAGTTGCTCTCGATCCTTTACAGCTCTGACTCTTTGTTTTAGAAAACGTGTTTTATCCCACCAACCTGTTGCACGGATAACTTCATGTAACATGGTGGCATGGGGGGACAAGTCTGCTAATGCAAGTAGTGTGTATGTAATAGGCTCCCAATTGTCTACAAACAGGCTGGGTTTAGGAAACTGTTAGTCTTTGCTGTAGTGCTAATTTGGGAGACGAAATTCTGGCAGTGAAGCTGTTGAATCCGTGGAAGAGGGCAACGGCTGGTCACGGCAAGGGAGCGGCGTGCGACGGGGTCTCGGCAGGACCCAGCCCCAGCAGCCCGCCGAGGGTGTGGTTGCAGGGCTGTAAATCCCGTCAGGGCGCTGGCTCAGTTCACAGCGCTTACGGCAGCGGGGCGCCCGGCCGCAGCGCCCCGCACTCACGGTGAGTGCCGCCCGCGGGTCGGTCTCGTTTGCTGGCTGAGAACGGGAGAACCGCGAAACTAGGTCCCTACTTCCGCGGCCCGGGCGAGGGAGCGATAAGGCGCTCCCGGGAGGCTCGGTTGAGTCACTCTTATTTTAGTTATCGCTAACTGTTCTTCCTTAGGGCAGGCTGGTGCAAGTGTACGCGCCGGCTCCTACTGCGGCGCGGCCATACCTTGGGCTCTTCCGACAACGTCCTGGTTCCTTTACTGGAAGCGCTCCGGGACGCTGGTGTTCCGGGTCCGGCCTCCGGCCCCCCTCTCCTACTCTCGACTGCTCCGCAGTCCCAAGGGACCTGGACAGGACCCGGTGCCGGGAGATCGTTTGGCCGGGACAAAACCTTCAACTAATCCCCAGAAAGCTGGGAAAGAAGCAACAGTGATCAGACTGGTAACTCTGGGGACAGTGTTATCCTCTAGGGCAGAGAATAAGAAGCTGGTGCATGAGTGTGTGTGAGCGTCCCTTGGGCTCTGTCGGGGCAGGGAGTTGTGGAGCTGGGCGAGCTCTGACCATGGCAGTGGTTGACTTTGGGGACTGATAAAGTACTGTAGCTGTGGCGGTAATCAGGTTTTGTAGGAATGGATCCCATAGAAATCCTCTTTAAGTATAAAATACTGCTGAACTCGAGATACCGAGGTGCTTCACCAAGGAGAGAGAAAAGGAATGCTGTGTCTTTTTTTTTTTTTTTTCTTTTTGTCAGTTAAAGAGGAACGTGTAGAAAAGTACTTCTTTCTGTCGAAATCTGTAATTTCTGTCAGCCGGTTGTTAGCTCAGCATACTGAAGCACATACTTGTTGCTGAAATTTTTTTTAAGTATTTCGTTTTCAGTTGGAATGGGTTGTTCTGTGGTTTGAGTGTTCTTTCTTTTCAGTAACATCATGAGAACAGAGGAGCAGGCAAAATAAATGATTTCCTATACTAGAGGAGAAACAAAAGCTTGTGTTCTGAAGCATAAGCTGAAAAATGCCTAGATTTGACTGTAACCTTGCGGAAGTCCTCGATTTCTGCCAGAAAAACTGGGGAGAGAATGTTTATTTCAAGTCAAGGCTTCATACCATTCAGAATTACTGAGCTGGCTGATTGGGCACTGAAGTTTGAGTTAATTTCATAATATTGGCCAGATGAGGAGGTCTCTACTTGTTTTTGAGTCTTCTTCAATGATTACTTTTTCATGGATTTTGTATAGATATCAAGGCATTCTACGTGTAAAAAATCACAAAGAAATGTGGAGTTTATCTGTTTCTCTCATCTCTAAGCAGAGAGATTTCAAAGGTAACTTATGTTGGCCTGTGTGCTCTCTGTTGCCTGAGAATAGTTAAAAATAACATTTTAAATAGATTGTCTGATTACAGTGCAGGGATGTATGTGGGGTGTAATTGTATGGCATACATAAGGAAAGAGAGAGCATAAACGCTGTGGTAGCATTTCAGGATTTGGAAGCACTAAGCTGGCTGTAAACTTGTGAGGAGTTTTTGATGTTTGACAGACTCATGTTTTTTTCCTGATAGCAGCCGAGTGCCTTTGAACTATTGCGTATGCTCTCCCAGTCTTTTTCTCTATACCGTAACAGGCTGTAGGTTCTCAAATCTAGTATTCTTCTCAAAGTCCTGTGACCTGTTTGCTGTGTCACAGCTACTGCATCTGTTTCTCTTGTTTCGGGAAAAAAAGGGGGGGGCGGCAACAGAAAATACAGGTTGTGAAAGCTGCTTCTAAGCCGTTTTGGGAGAAGCAGTCCTCTCTTTTGTTATACTAATGAAGATTACTACATTGCTTCTGGGGAGACAATTAACATGAATTCAACTGTAAGTTTATAGAGGCTATACTTTTAGCCATATATTTCTTCCTATGATATACTAACTTGAATGTTTTTTTCAGGTATGCTTTTTCTTTTTCACTAACTTGTTCTCTTAGTGCGCACACACACACACACACACACACAAAAATCTGAGGAAATTGACTTGGTTTTTGTTCTGAACTTTACTTCACCATTAAGGTTCATTACTTTCATTATTTCCTGTGTGCATATGTATAGTGCATGCAAATGTGCCAGGGTAACTTAGCAGGAAGAAAAAAGTACTGTATCTCCCACTCATCATAATTTATTGCTACTGGTTTTGAGGCAGGGAGGGCAGGTGGGTGGGAGGAGGTTGTGAGGAGATTTGCTGTGTCAGAAGTAAGTAGGGTTTTCACAGAAGTTGACTCCATCTTGTAAAAACCTGAGAAGATAAGGCAGTTGTTCTTCAGCTGGATTTATTAAACCTTGTTCAATTCCTGTTATCTTCCTAGTGTAGATAATAATAAAGACATGGTAAGACTTTGAGTGAAGTATTGTACCATTGGTGCTATGATAACACCAGGTATAGACTTAAGAGACTTCGATCTAACAGGGAGAATCACCTGGTTTGCAGATCAGGAAGACTGAGAAAAGTGTGAATCTTTTAATGTAAAACTGGTTTAGGTGTAACTCTGCTTGAGTCTGATTTGGAAATCTGAGATTACTTTTTTGTTCCTTTTATGAGGTTTCCATTAGCATGTATACAGTCTTGGACTGTTTGTTATGCCATTCATGTATCTCTGAGGCTGAAATTAACATTTCCTTTTCCCTCATTTCCCTGCTAACGTATTGAAACAACAAAGTAGCAGCCATTGCTACTAGTTGTGTTGTGGTATGGAAGGGGCATGTTCCTGTATGGGTGGATCCAAAACTTCTCCAGACCGTGCACATCCAAGTTTTCGTGAAGATAAGCTGAGCCAGAAAGTTTGTATTTGCATCCCAAAGCCAAGAGTGCACCAGTAGTAGGATATTTTGTATTTTGTTTTGGGAATGCAAAGGTTATTGTTTGATTGTTCATATGGCTGGGATTTTTTTGAGCAATGATGTGAAGAGATGCATACCCCATTGGATTAGAGCTTGGTGCATGTTTGGTTTTGCCCAACAGATACGTGTTTCATTCTAGGTCCAATCTTGTACTTTTTTCCTAAATGCCATGTTGATTTTAAAGACCCTTTTGTTTGTATTCCCTCACCTTCATTCATAACAAAAAACTAGAATATATCAGAAGTTACCTGGAAATCTGTCGTGCCCTTCAATTCTCTGAATTCACAATCTGACTCCTGCCAATTCCATTCCCATATACTTGCCGAAATTACAGGCTGAAGAAAGAGAAATGCCATTCTATACATAAATACCAATTCACCTAGCATTTTTAACATTGTATTGGCATGAGTCAGTCTTGTTTGCACCTAGTTGGGGAAAACTCAAATGACTTCCAAAGGACTCTGTTTTGGGAGATGCTCCATTTTGACAAATAGGAATGTGTACGATTAAACTTCAGTTCTGCTATAATTTCTGCCATTTCCACTGGTGATTGCATAATGGCAGTTGTTCAAAGCACACTGTCTCTTAGGGACTAAAATTTTCAGGGGTTCTGTATCTAATAAAGTCAAACATTCTTTGAATCATATGCTGAAGTATTTGAGACATTCCAGAGTTTTCAGCTGAAGAGGCTCCCTCCTTGCAGTGTTTATGTTCAACACTGCAGGACTCTTTATGTACAACAATGGCAGGACTCTTGTTACTGAGCTAACTGTTGTAGTTCTCAGCTTACATTTATAAGGACTACATAGTACAGCAGCCCATAGCCAAGCAGATAGATTTAAGGGGAGAAGTTAGCAGGCCTGTTGTTTGGGGCTTTTTGGGGTTGTGGTTTGTTGTGGGTTTTTTTGTTGTTGTTGGGTTTTGGTTGGGTGAGGTTGGTTTGGGTTTGGTTTTCTTAGGGGTTTTGCAGGGAGGATTGCTCAGAATATTATCAGAGCTTCTGGACGCATGTAATTGTTGCCAAGTGTCTTGCAAGTTCTTGAATTTAGGTATTTCATATTAACTTTGGAAGTCTAACTTGATTCCTCAAAACAAAATTCAGGTATGAATTTGAGGATTGGGTATTGAGTTTGTAAATCATGGAGAGCTACTGAGTGACTTAGAAGGCGCAATGAGTAGCATATTAGTGAGAGTGTTTGGTTTTCTTTCTTAGGAAGGCAGGTTAAATGGAAAATGCTCTACTTCAGAGGGTCATTTTTTATTTGCTGAAATATCTCGGATTGTTGGATTGGAAACCTACTGGATTTCTATAATAATTATCCCACCATTGGCTAGGAGAGGGAATTCTCAGGTTTTTTTATGTATCCTCAGACATGAGGTGGTCGACAGCTTACTGTCATTATAAGCATATCAACTACTAAACTCAAACTTTCATTGGTTGTGTTTATACCCACTTGGCATTGCATGAAATACCACATGTTCTGTTTCAGCATAGTGGTGGTAATCTTGCAGGAAAGCCTAAGAAAAATCCTTCTGACTGGATAACCTGCACTTACTAGACAGAGTTCAGAGGTTTGAGGGTGACTTTTATAAACCAATAAGAAGGCAAGATTATTACATTTAGAATCTCAGCGGCCCCGCAAAGGAGAATAACAACGTTTGTGCAGTATGAGCAAGCTATCCTCCCGTTTCAGACTCTGTAAATGGTGTTTGTTGCCTTAGTACAAAATTGAATTTTCAGATGACTGTGTGAATTCCAAGATGCTTCCCCCTCACCCCCCAGCTTTTGTTTGAGGTAACTTTTTATCATACCTCTCTAATAAGAAAGCTGAATTTACTGGAAACAAGCTGTGTCTGTCAGTTTGCTTTTAACTATAGTACGTTGTAGTTTTGTGGTAAGCATTTGCATTTTAGATCTTCCTATCTCTGGACCAGTTGCTTTGCTTAGAACAGTTGTAAGGCAAAACTGACTTTACAGCACTCTGGTATTATTTTGAACATAATTATGTGATATTTTTAATACTAGCCAGCAGAAACTATGTCCTCAAAACGCACGATAAATGGAGGGGTGATTTAGTATTTCACATCAAGGCCCATATGGTAATTTAGGGCTTTATTTTTTTGTGAGAGTGTAGTTTGGCTTCTTTGGTATTTTAAAGTCTGTTTGGATCTGTGTAACTGAAAATGTCAGTCCTTAGTAACTTCTGAACTCTTTTCTGCTTTTTTTAACAAGAAACCTGACCTAAGTCAAACAGATTCTGTGGACAGAGGTGCTATTTCCAGTGGCTTTTTTACTATAGTATGTAGTAGCGGTGCTCAGACAGAGTCTTGGCAAATGGAAGAGTAAAAAAAAAAATTTAAATATTATTTATCATAATATTTAAATATAATATCTAAATATTATTTATAATCTATTTATAATTTAATGAATATTTATTGT